TTTATCAGGGTGGGATCTGTAATGAAAATTGAGAAGACTCTGTCCTTTATTTATGCATAGACAACTCTCACTAAACCTACACACTAATGTTGGGGAAAGGTACTCAAAATTTTAGGGCAAAAAGCGTGGTAGCAGAAAGACTCAGATACCACAGTGATGGATTTAAATAGAATAGAATATCCTTATGATGAATGTCACATACTGGGAAGCCATCTTTGAATCAAGAGTTGGCATCAGAATAATAGGAACGACACAATTGTTTATTACATTCTCCTGACCTTTTTCCAGGAACGTAGTCGGGATGCCAAACTTGCAACTGACCCAGGGAAAGCTAATAAACAAATCAATTTTTCCATAAGGTAAACAAAATGTAAAAGTCAAATGTCTATTTGTATGCCAAGAATCTGCCTCGTACAATTCAGAATGCACAAACCAGCCCTGTAAACTAATGATAAGGCCAGATCTCAGAGCATCAGATAATTGATTGAGAGCTTTCAGTGTAGACTATCTCTTTCCATGGCCCATGGCATTATAAGTTTATTAAGCCGTAGATCCACTTCTAATCTAGTGATCTTTCAAACCACCAGCACAGACATTATTTAGATGGCCACCTTTTAAAAAATATTGATAATAGTTAAAATTAATATTTTTCACTTTATCTTCCATCTGGGAATCTCAAAGCACTTTACATACATTAATGAATCAATCCCCTCACCTCCTGTAAAGGAGGTAAGTGTTCTTATCCCCATTTTACCAATGGACAAACTGAGGCACGCAGTGATTGAGGTCACTGATGTCACTGGGAAAGTTCCCATGGATTTAAACAGGAGCAGGCTCTAAGTGACTTGCCTAAGGCCATGCAGGATGTCTATGGCAGGGCTTTGAATAAAACCCAAAAGTCTGAGGAGATCTCTTTAGCCACAAGAACACCTTGCCTCTTTTTTTGTACTTCCTCATACAATATAAAATGAGTAACTAATTGAAATGACTTTAGTGTCTTCCTAAGTCACAAAAAAAATCTATATACAGCACATAAGTGATATATACAATCATTGGATATATTTGGCTTCTAACTAGGGCTTCATTCGTTCCGATGGAATGAAAACAAACAAATAACATTTTATCATCTCTTTTTTTAGCAAAAACATTTTTAGTAGACGGTTGTATTTATTAATGAATTATTCCTGGAAACATATATCAGATGGGATGTCAGATCCCACCTGATAAATACCAGTATTTTAAATTATGCCTACTGGCCTTCACCGTAACATATATAAAAAACAATTGATCAACTAATGACAAAACAATAATAAAATGTAAGCAGGGTCAGAAAAAATAATAATAGCCAACAAAGAAACAGTAACTACACAATCATTCGTGTCTAGCAGATTTTATCTTCAGTGTTTCAAAGACCAGGGTTCTCCTCCAGGGAGTGTGATGGATTGAAGAATCTGAAACTCAGGCTCTGTGTACACCAGAGAAATTTGCACTGGTGTTGCTAAATGGAATCAAACGCTAAAGGTGTGCTCCACCAGTGCAAAATGGGGCATGCATTCAGGTGACTCACTCCAGACACCTGTGCAAACCCTTAATGACTCACTGCACTTGTAATAAACAAGATTTGCTCTTCTTTGACATACTGCAGAGTAAGTCACACCAGTTCAAACTCCACTTTGCATCAGTGCAACATGTCTACGTTAGCTACTCCGGTGCAAATTTCCCTAGTGTGGACAGACCTTCAGTTTCTGTGATTCTTGTAATAGTCAAGGCTAGCAAGGAGCCAGTGATTGCTGAGCCCAGGAAGAACATATACATGAGTTCACTTTTGTTATGTCACTGGAATTAGGTTTTAATGTTGTAAAAATCTTTCTTTGGGAGAGACTGGGATAAACAACTCTAATCTCACCACTGAACTTATTCTAAAAAGCAGAAGTACATCATGAATAAATCAGGTAAGCAATTTCTTGTGTCTCAAATGGAACGGAATATCGCTGTTCCATAAATGGAGGTCATGATCCCTATGGGACTTCCAAAGCTATTAACATCTCTGCTGATGGGTAGATACTCAGAGCTCTAAGAGGATTTGGAAATGTCAAAGCAACTCCCCTGAAGAGATGCAAAGCCTGAAATGAAAATATTTGCAAAACAATCAATTCACAAGGAGCCCGAGTATTTTCTGAGCTGGCAGGTTAAGAAAGGAAATGCAAAACACCTTCATGACAGCAGGCAGAGCAGTAGTGAGAGCTTAGCACCCTGTAGCCGTTCTTTCAGCCTAAAGAACTCATTGCTACATAGGATACCTATTAATATCTGGAGAGGATGGGCAATTAACTGGATACCCAAATCACTAATCACTACCTGAAAAATGTGGCTTACACTAATATATACGAGATTTCTAATATTACACTAGACAGGGCCAAATGTATTGCTAGCATATGCCAATGCACTTCTATTTCCCTCAGATTTAAATATGATTCAGGATATGTAATTATAGTAAAAATACTTCTTTGAACCTTCTATAGCACTTTTCTATTGAAAATCCTAAATCTTTGCACATGCATTAATGAATTAAATCTCACAATCTAGCCCAGGGATTGGCAACCTTTGGCACACAGCCCATCAGGGAAAGCCGTTTCAGGAGCTGCGATCGGCCGAACCTGTGGACACTGCAGGTAGACAAACCGTCCCGGCCTGCCAGCGGCTTTCCCTGATGGGCCACATGCCAAAGGTTGCCAATCCCTGATCTAGCCTGTGATGTAGATCAGTATTATGATCCTCCATTTTACAGATAGGTAATCTGAGGTACAGAGAGATTAAATTATTTGCCTGTGGTTATACAGGAGGGCTGTGGTAGAGCTGGGTCTAGAACCCAGATCTCCCAGCTCTTACCCCATGCCAGTCACCATTCCTCAGCTGACATGTCGCGGTGCAATATGCCACTAAAATATTTTTTTCTCAAACTTGTGGTCTCTCAAGTGTCCTAGTGGCTTGCTAGTACATATGAAGAATGGAGCTTGTACAGGGATGACAAGAAGACAGATTAAACAGACTGATCAACTTTTTTGGGCCTCAGCTCCCTTGTGCCAGTATGAGAGACCTTCAGAGGGTTGTTTCAGGGCTTAATATGTTATTATTTATAACTTGCTTTGAGACACTTAATGTCAGAAGGCTCTAGAGAAGTGTCAGGTATTAGGTTTGCACAGGGTATAATTAAGAACTAGGAGTGAATACACCAATCTATTCCCACATGGCTCTATCAGTCTAAAAATGTTGATCTTTGGGTCGATCAGACTGGGTCATTTGCCCATGACTCCACTGATAAGCAAATGAAGGATCCTGTTCTAAAGAGATTTGGTCATTGACCTATGGTTCCATTGATCAGGGGAATGTTGGGCCCATGGACTAAACAGAATGGACCATTTGCTTATGGTTCCATTGATCAGGGGAATGTGCACATCTGGGCAGAAAGGACTAGGCTATTTTATCATGGCTCCATTGATCAGGGGAATGTAAGCACCTGGGTTGCACAGGCTGGGCAATCTGCCCATATCTCCATTGAACAAGGGAATGTGGACATCTCTGGTCTGAACAGACAGGGTCATTTGCAACTTTGTGGATGGCTCCGCAGAATAAAAGAAGAGAATAAAAAAAAGGGAAAATTATAAAATAGAAAATGCTGTGGAAAGGCATGAAATGTGCTGTTGGCACTGTGGCATAATTCTGTCAGGTGTCGGTCTGCTACTGAGTCAGGCAGCTGACTCTGTTATTTTAAGGGGGTTTATCTCCCATGTGCCATCAACACACAACAGAGTTATCTGTTAGGCACAAACCACCAGTTCTTTTCTGGCCCCTGCAAACAAAAAGGAACAGAAGAAATATTTTACACACAGCAGGTATTTAAACTTGTCTGTCCACAAAAAAAGAAAATCCAGAGAGAGAGAGAGAGAGGGAGAGGGAATCCCTATGGAAACAAAGCTTTCACTCCACTAATACGGTTAGTCAGACAGAGACTGTCACTACTCATAAAGCAGGGCCAAAGAACCCTGAGGGCAAGTACCTCTGCTATGATGGCAAAACTCAGCCAGAGGAGAAAATAGCTCTCAAATCAGAGACAGCACATCGAAAAGGGAATCTAAGCCTGGGAACTAATGCGACCAGCTCTCTAGTTCACTGTCACCCCTCTATCTCCACCACTCACCCTCACAATATAAAAAAAAAGACCCTGAAGAGAGGAAGAGTCAAAGTGGAATCCAAGCTAAAACAGGACATATTCCTGCAGCCTTTGTTAAACACAAAATCAGAGTCTTGATACCAAGAAAAAAACTATTATTCCGTTGGGATTCTGTAATCTGTAATATGAATAGCCTTTCTCAGCAACATGGAAACTCCAAACAAACAATAACCTTGCCTCTTATGTCCAGCAGCAATAGGATGCCTTTATTCGTGGATTTTAACTGTTTGAATACTGCAGATTCTCTCTCTCTCTAGCCCCTCCTAATTAATAATTTGGCTCAGCCTTTAAAATGATCTGCTTATCCTAATGTTTAACAGTGGTGTGACAGGCTGTGTTTGCTGGTTGTTAGTTTCGGGGACTGACTCATGACTCCTGGATTCTATTTTCAGCTTTATCACAGACCAGTTGTGTGGCTTTGAGCAGATCACCTCACCTCCCTGTGCCTCGGTTTATACTACTCTAGAATGGTGAGACTACCTCACAGAGGTATTGGGAGGCTGAAGGTATTTTCTTAAAATGCTTTGAGATGCTCAGGTGGAAAGTGGTGTAGAAAAGTGGACAGTGTTGCATTTACAACCCCGGTATTCGTCTGAGTTGTCACAATCCGTCACTACCTGGTGCCTCATACATGTCAACCATGACTAAGGCTGTGAGAAGCCTCCCAAATGGCAACTATTATTCTTTCCTGAGCATCCTGTTTGTCTGGACTGCACATATTCAGGGGTGCTGCTTCTCCTCAAGGATGTGTTTTCTGTTTGCCTCCTAGGTGATCTATCGTGCCTTAACTCCAACCAACAAGATTGAAGACCCATATGGTCCTGAGGCCCAAGACCTCCTGAAACTCACCAACCTGCGCCTCCTTTTGTTAAAAAGGCAGGAGTGTCCCTGCCAAGGCTTGGGATTGCTGGAGAAACCCCAGAGGTTTGCCCACTATGCTATCTATGATCTGATTGTCCGGGGAAGTTGCTTCTGTAATGGGCATGCAGAAGAATGTCAGCTTGCCAATCGGACAGGGAACACAGAGAATGTGGTGAGTTCTTGAAATTCACTAGTTTACTTCAATTTGTATTTGTTTGTGCTTCCTGAGACAAAGAGAGGCTTCTCCATAAGACCCTGTCCATCTTCCCCATAACAGTTTAAAATAGGGTACCACTGATAATCCACATCAATGAAACCTAAACCTGCTTCTTAGTATGGAAGGGGCTATATAACACTAAAAGCTGTTCCAAACATGATCTGTGTTAGAGATAGGCCTGAACCAAAACCTTGGATCTGAACATACCCACACTTGTGGAGAGGTTTGACATCTGAACTGGGATCCAGATCCAAATATAGTGGCTGATATACCTCTTCTCGTATCTCAGCAGGGAGATAAACCAAAACCTTGGACCCAAACATTGCCCGTGAAATTCTGGAATTTCAAAATCTGTTCTAAAAAAGGAGTACTTGTGGCACCTTAGAGACTAACAAATTTATTTGAGCGTAGCTCACAAAAGCTCATGCTCAAATAAATTTGTTAGTCTCTAAGGTGCCACAAGTACTCCTTTTCTTTTTGCGGATACAGACTAACCATGGCTGCTACTCTAAAATCTGTTCTAGTTATCTGTCTTAAATCACATAAGGAAATCTCTCTTTAAACAATGCAAAGAATCTCATTTACTGCAAGCTAGGACATTAAAAGTATTGCTTGAAATTCCATTTTTACTTTGCAGTGTATTAGAGTGCAAATGATAGCGGAGATCCCCACCACTGGAGACCCTTGAATTTGCAAGGCACAAGTAGTTGTGTTATGGTTATGATTTCAGCTTTTGACTCTGAACTTCCTGGGTTTTGTTGGTTCAGCCAGATGCTAAGCATTATTGGTGGGAGAAGAAGATTGTGTGAGTGGTTTAATTATAGAGTCCTACAGCCAAATTCATAATTGTGGAATACTTCAATTATTTTCAATGAAAATTTTGCTTGATTAGGCACTGCAGAGTTTGACTCTAGATACCAGGCCAGAAGAAAGAGGCATGATTGATCTTGTTGTTCCTTCTCTTGAATCACAGCAGATTAGTCAATGTTCTATTGGTTTTTTTGAAAGGTCTTAGCTTGACCCATTCAATTTAATCTTTGTCTTGATATATAATGGACTTCTGTACAAATAATTTGTTACTCATTTGTGACTCTAACAGAGAATATTCTCGATAAAAGGGAACATAAAAAGGGTAAAAAGAAGAAAAGAAAAAGAAAACGAACGTTTTGCCAGTGCAGTTATTTATGTGCATGTATGTTTTCGGGGCACAACTGTGGGACTAGTGGTTCAAAATGTGGCCGAGAACATATTTGCTTGTAATAAACTCCGATCACTTTTTAATTTTAATATCTACCTGGCTGTTCTTTTAGGCACTTGCACCAATAATTTGCTCTAGTGCTGACACTACGTCCCAAGTTTCAATCTGGAGGGATTTCTTCTCCTTTTGCGCACCCTCGTGCACTCAAGTGTGTAAACTATTGGGCTTGATTATCCGAGGGGCTGAGCATTTAAATCTCCAACTGAAGTCAATGGGATCTGTGGGTGTTTAGTGACTGAAAAATCAGGCAGGACATCCCTTTTATTTTCTGGATAATGGACTAGAGAGGAAGTGAAAGTCTCAACAGAAATGCAGGTGGTCTTGAGCCCAGCCTTGTCTCGACCTCTGGAGAAAAGCCAGGTTTGCAAGGAGCTTGGGAATTATTTTTTGTGACACATTTGGATCAGCTTGTGATAAGATTCATAACCAAACTTAAAAAAAAAAAAAGACAGAATAAGTGCAAATTTACCAAGTTTCTGGTAAGATTTTTTTGTTATTTACTTAACCTTCTTGTAGCACAAGGTTCAGAATGTAAAGGTGAATCTCTTTCCCCCTCCACTCAGCTTAAAACAGGTTAGGATAAAAAGGATCTGTCATACATACCACAAGTTCACTCTTGAATGGTGCTAAGCCTGAATTTACTTCAAAGGTTCCGTGCGCCATTTACCTGACACCACCCTAGTTCACAGTAGCCCTTTACATTTTATGAGGAGACCAGATTCAAACTCCTAACCTTTTCACTGGTATTATACATGCCAGGTACATGTATAATACATGCTCCAGTCCAAATAGAGCAATTACGATACTGTGTGCTATAGTTTTCAGTAGAATGTTAATTGGCTGAATAGTGAAGAGATTAATAATTAATGTAATCTTCAACAGTCACTTTGGAATAAAATTCGAGGCCTTGATCTAGGAAAGTCCATATTTACACTGCGGTATGTGCTTTAGTGCTTTCCTGAATAAGGATGTGTTCCTGAATCAAAGCCTTAAAGCTGTGCAGGGTGTTCGAATGCTGCTATTCAGACTTCACTACCAATAATGCCCCCATTACTGTCTAAATACTGATTCAGCTGTACATATTGTATGGAGTAACCTTAATAACAGTCATGGGAGAATTATGTTAACCAAATATAGTGTGTTATCCAAGGACATCAAAAAAGATACATTCCAGGCCAAGAATTCAAGCCATTTAACCAGGAGCAGCAACACAAGTCAACAGCTCTGTGGTTTTCCATAAGGCTTTCTGTCTCTATAATGGGATCTGAAAACAAAAGCAGCCATACATACTTTATTCGTGATGCACTCTGACATTATAGACTCAAGAAACCCGTTCCACAACTAATTCCATGTCCATATAGGTATATGGTGCGTGTGTTATTCTGGTTTTTTTCTTCTGGAATGGATATTCCTAGGTGTCTTTTAAGTTTTCTACTTTTAGAGTTAGATATTGTACAATTAATAAAGATCATATGAATTTCACAATATTTAAAAGATTTTTTCTGAATCACTACTAGCCATGGTATAAATCAAGCATCTTATGTATGCTAGCATTGGGTGATGTTATCCACCCACTGTAAATGTGGACCCGTTTAAGACATAACTGTAGAAAAAACACTGTTTAAAGAACAAATTCTCTACTGCAAACTGTTTAATATACAAATGGTGAAATAGAATAGATGAGTTACTCATTAAATGAATACAGCTGGTAGAAGAATAAACCCTACCCATCAAAAGGGAAAACACAATATTGTGCATGCTGTTGGCACAGTCATTGTAAACTATGACTGGATGTCTCTTTTTTTTATTTTTTCCGTTAGTCTCAATGGAACAGGGGTTTTGTGCCATCAAATGACTTCACGGGGCAGAAGGTGAAATAGTTTTGATGAAATAGATTTCATGAGTGACTCATACCCCAGGAGACAACAAGAAGTATGTATCCTAGTACTTACACTGAGAGACAAGGGTGAGTGGTTTGCCTGGGTAGGACTCAATGAGAACTGAGGATGGGCTTCAGGATCCCTGTACCAATTCCCCTGAAGGTGCAGTGCCCATCGTGTGGCGGAAGATGTTTTATAGAACATATTAATAAAGAAAATCAATGGGCATCTTGAGATTTAAGATTGTTAAGCCTTTTTAAATCTTTTGATTATTTAATATATGGTACTTATAGGAAATGCAGAGCATACAAGCATTTTAAATAAACTATTCCTCTCAATGCTGGGTTTTGCTTTTTATGGATTATTTCACTGGTATTTTTGTCTGGAAGCATCTGATATTTCCTATGTTAAATTTAGCATAATCTCTATAACTACGCTCATATTTCTCTGTACAAAGTTCCTGTAAATTCCTTCCTTAGTCAAATAGGTGGGACACAAGACTAGGTGAAAAGCCTGGATCCAGCTCTTTTGCGTATTCTTCCATTTCAATGCAGAAAGTAAAAAGGAGAAGAAGTGATGGCCAAGAAATCTATGGGCAAACATCCCAAATTTGGGGTTTTTTTGCAGCAGCAATTACCCTTTTTCTTGTTTTCCCTTTCTCCTCTCTTACCCCCAAGTCATTTGGCAGATGCTGCAAAGATATGAAACATGATTTATGCATCATCTTGTAGCATCCTTAGGTTTACACTCAAAGGGCAGAATTCTTCTCTCAGTTCTGCATGGGCTACAACATTTGGTTCTCCCTACATTATGGTGACATGACAGCGAGTGTGAAAAATCAGGACAGAGGGTGGGAGGTAATATGCTCCTATATAAGACAAAGCCCCAAATATCGGGACTGTCCCTATAAAACTGGGACATCTGGTCACCCTACCCTACATGAGTGGATCTTTCATGGATGTCAGTGAAGGAGAACTACTTATTGAAGCTGGGTGATGCCATGAAAGTTACAGAGAAGCATTTTTGTTTTAAGTGCAGGACATTGGCGTCACTTTAGAAAGGAATGAATGCCCTGACCAGGCACATCTGTGTGCCTCCTTGCCAGAGGATGTTGTGAAGGCCAAGACTATAACAGGGTTCAAAAAAGAATTAGATAAGTTCTTGGAGGATAGGTCCATCAATGGCTATTAGCCAAGATGGACCTGGATGGTGTCCCTAGCCTCTGTTTGCCAGAAGCTGGGAATGGGAGACAGAGGATGGATTACATGATTATTACCTGTTCTGTTCATTCTCTCTGGGGCACCTGGCATTGGCCACTGCCAGAAGACAGAATACTGGGCTAGATGGACCTTTCTTATGTTTTCTATGTTTTTTTCATTGCTGGACACAGTGGAAAGTAGCCCTCCCCGACTCCCTCGCCAAATACTGTTTCTGTAGGAGGTGCAAAGATAGCTGTTGTGATGTGCTGAGGGCCTTGCTGTAGGACACTGTAGGGCATGAGGAACAGTGGTCACGTTTAGGTTGCAGTTAGCTAACAGATGGTAGCTAAGACCAACCTTTCCCCTAGCGTACATCTAGAACATACAAAGGAGCTTAGAGTGCAGACAGAGAGCGCAGACAGTGAATGGCTTCTAGACAAGCTTCCAGTCCATTTGCCAAATATTTCCCAGTTCTTTTTTTAGTGCAAATGAAACAATAATAAAGATGGGACAAAGGAAGATCATTGTGTATCCAAAAAAATGATTTATAAAACACAGTGCAGAACCACTGGCTGTTGACAAGTGTTGGGGGTGTTTTGTTTGTTTTTGGTGCCCTCA